TTTTCTTCTTTTTTTTTTAAAGAAGGAAAAAACTATTCGAACAGAAAGCAAATTACAAACCCCAACCCCAAAATAAAGAAAAGAAAAGAAGAAAAAGAAAAAAAAAGAATTTTTGATGAAGTAAGTAATACACAAGAAAAGTAACGTCCTTTGAAGTAATATATCCAAAACAAAACAAAAAATCATTTCTATAGTTGAAAGTGGAGAAGAAAAAAGAACTGCGTTTCTGTCAAAAGCGAAAAAAAAAAAAGAAAAAGAAAACAAACACCTATTTTAACCTTCGACTAGCAGACCCCAACCTCGAAACATCTCAAAGACCAAAGATAGAACAATAAACACCTTTTGCTTCTTGTACTCACATACAACAGCGTTTCCCACAAGGCTTCGCGGCAAATCGTCTGTTCCTTGATCCCAGAATCCTTTCGGCGTCGTCCTCCGCACTGAAACTATCCTGCAGACGATCAGTCTCCATCGCGCACGCAGAGAAAATATGTGGCACACAGACTCATCACATTCCACTGATAAGCACGAGATTATTAAATTGGTTTACCTTTTGTTCACAATAAATGAATGCTCCATCATCATAAAACTCACCTTGAATTTTTTTTATACTTTTTTTTTGGGGGGGGGGATGGGGATTTTATACTCTATAATTACTCACTATGAAAGTAAAACGAAATTTAAAAAACACCTGCTATCGTGTATCTCATGTTTGAACGAAGTGACATTCCGCGAAAATGCGTTTCTAGTCTGTCACTGTCATCACGCAACAGAAAATATTTCTGATAGATTACACGCTTAGAATTTACAAGCAGTGGTGTGTCCTATTTCCAGCCTGCTTTTGTTGGTACAGTACCCTGAGGGTCGTGTGATAAACAAAAACAAAACTCTAGGACTTTAACCGACCGTGACGCACATCCCACCGATGTTATCATAATATGGAATCTTACAAAGACAGCCATGTGAAAAATAAAACAAACCGCAGGAACATTTTTTTAAATAGTTATGACACATGTCACACGGCAGCGAGTCACAAATTCTGTCAATAGACTTGAAACGATTTATTTTAGTGGACACATTTTCTCGAATTGTTACAACTCACCAGTTTCTTCTGTTCAGTTTTGTGTGTGTGTGTTTTGTTGGGTTTTTTTGCCGTGGAAAAGCAATGTATGGACTTTTTTTTACAATATTCAAGTATCTGTTTATTTGTGCATTTATGTATTTATTTATGTATTTATTTATTTATTTATTCACTTATTTATAAGGCTATTCAGTCACAGAAAGCAAGACATTACTAACAAGAACTAAAAGATGTGTGTTCATTGCATGAA